ATTCAACTCTCCCATATAACTCATATTTAATTGTTATATAGTTTAGAAGCCAGTATTGGTTGAGCTATATTTCCGACTTTCGTTACGAAAATAAGGGAATATTTGTGCTCGGGGTGGGTTTTTTTCTTCAGACAAATTTCGACTTTTTAACTAGCCATTTTTGACAGAACTTTTTATACCATTCGAAAGGTATTGTTGTCTTGAGCTCAATTGTGAAAAAATATTTCAGCTGTGATCTTTTTTTGTAAAGTTATGAGGTTTTAAATATTGCCATTTGGGCCAATTTGGGACGATTAACGCGCGATATATTTCGCGCATTAAAATGAAGCGGAGATTTATTCCGTCTTAGAAATTGTCCAAATTGGTTAAAAGAAGCTCATTTGCCATCATTGATTTGTTAAAATGAGCGAAATCTTTCTTTTTGCACTTTATATGGCGTGTGGGGTGATGATTTTCATAAAAAATTTCAAATTTTAGAAAAAAGTTTTCATTTTGTTTTATTACATTTAAAATTTTAATGTTATAACTGCCCCATAAACCTTGTGATATGTCTTGCGATATCGATTGAAAACAAGTTGTAATTCAATACTGTATTTTGGATATTGAATTTAGGTTTTCTGTTTCTTTTGTTTTGGTGTTGTACTGAGAGATAGATCATTGTTAAGAAATCTGATCTCTCGCTTAATCTCAGTGTCATCACTTACGTATGACCTTGAACATACCATAAAATAATAATTGAGCACCAAAGGTTAGCTGTACATACGTATATAAATACTGCTACTGCAGTAGCGGTATGACACGCCCCCCTCGGTGGAAGAAATAAATTATACAACATCAGTAGGATATTTTATTTAAAAAGAGTTTTAATTTGCTCAGTTCAAAAGGAAGTCTCTTTGGAGAAGTGACGAGTTTCGATTACGTATTTTTTTTCAGTTTTCCTACAGCTCTATTTCCCAACTCGGGTTCCAATCTACTCCCTCGTCTTAAGTAGCGTATCCGAATTTTCGCATAAACAGATGTCTTTCGAGTCGTCGCACTTTCGATTCCAATGGTCTGTCATCCCGATCTTTGAAATCTCTCAGTTGATTTCTGTATTCTTTAAGTGCCTCCTTTAAAAGACCTCCTCCTGTAAGGTTTTCTGATATTTCTTTGATTGAATGCTTTATCGGATCTCCGAATCGTTTGGGTTCTTTGTTTTTCGTTTGTCTAGAACTTCGTCTAATACCTGACTCTTCCGTACTTGATTCGTCCGAAAATCTTTGTGGTGGTTCGAAGTTTGTGTCCAATTCCGAGCTTTGTTGAGGATTTTCTCGAAGTTCATTCGCAACTCGCTGCACTCCTCTTTTTAGCAATTGGTCCGCGTACTTCTCCCATTCGGACGGTGCCAAATTGCGATTGTGAAATATGTCAACTATATCTTCTAGAGGAGTGTGAGAATCAATGCATTTCAGTTTCGGACGCTGTTTTGCTTTCGGAGTAGAACTTGACTGAATTTTGGTATCTACTGTTTCTGATTCCGGCTTAGATGTTGCTTGCTCTTGTTCCGGGTTGGCTGCAGTCGCAGCTTGATTTGTCCCCTGTTGTTTCTTGCTGCGGCCGTTTTTTTGCTTTCCGCTCTTCTCCGGCTTGTTTATGTTGTTTTCCTCTGTATTTGGTTTTGGGCCCGCCAAATTGGGTTTTGCTCTTTTGACTGCAAGATTCAAACCTCCCCCGGCTTCTGTGTCCCTTGAAGTGACTATTGTTTGGCTCTTCTGAAAGCACTCTATTGGATTCATTGCATCTGCGATTTCCATTTCTCCTTGAAGTTCGTCCTCCGATTCCATCTCCTCTAGTAGTTCTGGAGAACTGATTCGCTTAAACTTTTTTGTAGGTTCCGACGATGGACTTTTACTCGTGCTTCGCTGATTTTCTTGCGTCAGTACCGTTTTTGATTGGGCTATATCCGATTTCC